GACGTTACAGCTGAATCTCTAGGGGTTGTAGAGACAGCTCCACCACTATCAGTGTGGTAAAGGAAGAGCTACTGTGTCTGAATCCAAGAGGAATTCACTTTTTTTTTTGTTTTTGTTTTTTTGAGACAGGGTTTCTCTTTGGCTTTGGAGGCTGTCCAGGAGCAAGCTCTTGAAGACCAGGCTGGTCTGGAACTCACAGAGATCCACCTGCCTCTGCCTCCCGAGTGCTGGGATGAAAGGCGTGCACCACCACCGCCCTTCGGAATTTACTTTCTTATCAAATGATGACGATTCCTTTGAGGTCACTGTCCTGTAGTGTCCTTTTTGGTTTCAAGGGGCAGGAGTGGTGTCTTCAGCCTTCGGCCTTCCTTCCTTCCTCTTCCCTTTGCCTCTGTTCTTGGGAGAGCACATCCCACATTTTCCTTATAAAAGACACATCAAGAGCAGTTCTGTAAGAATCAGATGGGCTGATTCCCAAGTGCCCTCTGCCCTGTGTTCAAAGCTAGGGAATGTACCTTGGAAAGAAGAGAAGCAGGTCTACACCGGCAGAAGCATCCACTTTCCTCTGGCTGTTTCTGTGTTTGAAGTTACTTTGTTTGTAAGGATCTCAGTGTGCTCATTCCTAAGAAGAGAGATCGGGACCACGGAATTTCTAAATTCCTTCAAGCTCTGACAACATAAAGGTCATTAATAATACATCTAGTAACAGATAAGCTATTCAAAGGGCAAGAATATTGAGAAGTTAAAATTCTGATGCACTCTTCTAATAAGTAAATACACTCAGTCTGGAACACAGACCCTAAAAGTTGCTAATCCTATTAGTAGATCAAATAGTAGCTGCCTAGATATTTTAGCATCATAACGGGTAAGGGATAGCATAAAGGGAAAGTACATCATGCATATTGTAGTTTATAAATGTCAATTTCAGCAACAACAAAATCTCATATTTCAATGGTGGCAAGCTGTTTCTATAACCCAAATTTAGATTCACCTTTATTTTTTAAACAAATATGACATATTTGTTAAGAGATACTTTCTACGCATTTGGGATAATACAAAATGATGTGTGGTATGTGGCATAGAAATTATTTATGAACAAAATGGACACCAGGAGTGACATTTAGCTTACAAATTGATCACTGCTGATACTGTTACATAAGCTTGAGTTTTCCTTTCCTCACCCGGCCCCAACACTCACCTTGCTAATACCATGGCATCTGGAAGTAACTGCCTTGGAATTTTATATCATCATTCACCAGCTTTTTAAGACAATGATTTTTGTTTTGTCATGTGTTCCCAATGAATCTATTGTTACTATGTGGCTTATTTTTGAGATGTAGAGTCATGAATATTTTTGACTTGGATAACTTCCTGTTTTCCACCTGCTGTAATGGCTTTGGGATCCAATCAGAGTGTTAAGTTCAATGGAACATTTATTTTTCCAGGGCTTGGTAACCTAATGTGACAGGGAACCCTGCCATATCTGGCTGCTCTCCTGTCCACTGTTGTCTGACTTGAGTCTGGTTTTGGCTGTTAGGACCTTGGTTTGTTACTAGAAGCTTTTTCTTTGAGAGAAGCTTTTTCTTTGCTAGCCGCTTTGGTTTATCACCCGCCAGTCGCCTGGGCTCTGCCGCATTGTAGTCCCCAAATAAACACACAGGATGCTATATTAATTATGAAGCTGTTGGCCTTGCTTGTCTCTTACTGGCTAGCTCTGCTTTAAGTAATTACCCCATAATTGTTAATCTAAGTATGTCTCTTACCGGAGAATAGTTCCTGGCTCCTACCCCGTGGCGTCACATGTCGACTCTCCTGTGTTTCTCCTTCCCAGAATCCTCCTGGACTCCTAGTCCCTCCTATCTAGATTCCTATTGGCCAACAGTGCTTTATTAACAAATGTACAGGACTTCCCCCATTATTGGTTCCTCTGTGGGAGCTTTTGCCAAAGACTTTTGCTTAGCATGGAACTGCTGGTTTAGAGATTATGCAAATATGCAACTTCGCAAGACAGAGCTAAATTGTTTTTGTAAAAGATTGTAGACATTTGACTCCCTGAGCAACACTTACTGAATCTCTTTCACACTCAAAACTACTGGATATAAATTGGTGTTTTGTTGGTCCTGATATAATGAATTGATCATATCTTCACGTATCTATAAATGGTTCACATTCACTTCTCCATAAAATTCCTGTTTGTGTTTTAGGCCATTTTTTTCTGTGACCCTTTTTCCTTATTTACAAGAATCATACATATGCGCCCTTCCTGTTAAATTTATTCCTGCTTGTGTTGTAACAGACAAAGTTGTCATTTTAATACAGTTATTGTTATCAGTCATTTCTCTTTTGATTTAATGCCTTTGGGAAATCTTTTCCCACCCTGAAATGATAAAAATGTCCTTCTGTTTCCCTTAGTTTTTAAACATAGTTTTGCCTTTAACATTAAAGTCCTTAAACCATGGAGGATTCTTTTTTGTTTGCCAGCAAAATAACTCTGCCTGCTTTTGTAAAATGTCCCTTCTCTTCCACAAGGGCCTGTGGTACACCTCTGCTGCTTCTCTGGTTCTGTGCCCAAAAATCTGTGTTGTCCTCCACTGCTCTAGCCAGCTACCCCCGCAATAATAGCAGCATTCTCGTGTTGCACAGCTGTGAAACATCTGGATACTTTCCCATCACTCCCTCATTCTTTTTCAGAAGAGTCTTATGCTTGAATTTTAAATTGTTTTATTAGTGCAAGTGTGGTGTGTGTATGTCTCTGTGTTAATACAACTTGTGGGACTTGATTTTCTCCTTCTAGTATGTGGATTCTGGGATTGAACTCAGATTGTTAAACTTGCTGGCGGGTGCCTTTACCCACTGAGCCACCCCACTGGTACCTGTCTCAGCGGACAGCTGTGTAAGAATATACTACAGCATATTTCATATGTCTCTGATTTTAAGGGGAGTCTTTTCTAAAATTTCACCATTCAAAAATGATGTTAGCTTGTGGGGCTTTTTTGTTGTTGTTGTTTAATAACTATAGTTTAAAAAATTCATTGTTTTACTTTGATGAATGTTTTTCCGTAAATCATAAATAGATATGGAGCAATATGAGATACTCTTCAACATTATTTCAATGATCCTGTTTTTCATCTCAAACCGGCTCATGCACTATATAATGTTCATGTATATTTGGACAGGTCAAGTAAATAATGGAACTTTTAATACATTACATTTCTTACATTTCTTTTTGATATTTCAAACCCTTCTATAATAGTGGCTCCCAAACTGGGATTTCAGCATGATAAAGTGGGAAATCAATCACATTTCTCTTTAGCTCCACAGTTCTCTTGCAATGTCAAATGAATGCTGCATTCCAGTGATAAGCCCATTAGTCTTCCTGGTCCCTAGTATTTCAACCTCTTTCACTAGTGGGATCTGAATTCCCCTTTTTTACACTGTTCTTTCATATTCAAAGGTAACATCAGAGAGACATTGCAGAATGGCTGGAGGCATTCTCCTTTTTTCTTAATTCTCTGGCAAATTTTGCATAAATTTAGAGCACTCAGCTTCAAATGTCAAGTAGATTTTAAGTCTAAAATCCCTACTTTTTGTTTGTGGAAAGATTTCTATCTTCTAAGGAATTTTATGTAAGATTGAAGAAATTTATTTGTAAGCTGTTGTGATGAACTGTATTTTTCTAGGAATTCACTTGCTCTATATCCTAAGCTTACAGACAGTGGGATGGACATGAAATTTCCCTAGCGTTTGTCTCTAGTTGCTTATTATTGACTTCTTCGCTTACAGGTAACATCTGCTTGCATCCTGGTGAGCTAGACTGCCAATTAATTTTCATTCAGACATAGTCAGCTGTGTTCTTCAAAATGATTTTTTTACAGAAAGGTTTCTCTCTGCGTTCTCAAAACTGACTGCCTTAGAATTATTTTAAACAAGGGTACATGAGATATTCTGTAGCTACTCCCAACCCACCCAGTGTATAATGAATAAGACTGCCACACTGATGATTTATTGTCACAAAAAAGTTGTTAGTTTGAATTTTGGTGGCTTGGCATGCTTGGCACCTATAAAACAGGCACCTAAGAAAAAAAAAAGAAAGATCTGGGTAGACTTCTCAGTGGGTAAAGTGTTTATCAAATAAATGTGGATCTGAGTTCAGTGTTCCGCGCTCACATGGATATGGTGGCATGAGTCTGTAACTCTAGTTCACTGATGCGGAGGTAAAGACTAGAGGATCCCTGGGCCTTCCAGTCAGCCAGTTCAATTCAGTAAGAACCCTCCTCAATAATAATAATAATAATAATAATAATAATAATAATAATAATAATAATAAGATTATGGACATTGATCAAGGAAGATACCTAACGTCAACCTCTGACATCCACGTTCATGTACCCCTATACACGCGTGCGCGCGCGCATACACACACACATACAGAGGCACAAAAAAAGAGAAAAATAACAAAACGTTACTTAAAACCCTTTCTTGTCTTCCAAGAATTAAATGCATAGAAATAACACTGCGATAAAAGTGCGAATTTTCTGGATAACCCGATTGCATGTAACCAGATAAGTAGGAATTTATACAGCTCTTTAAAATTTGTCAAGGCCACAGGTGACTGGAAAGATGACTCAGAAGTGCACAGCACTTGATGCTATTGCCAAGAACCTGGGTTCAACTTCAGCATCCTTTCTGAACAGCTCAACTGCCAGTACAACATGGCGCACATACAGACAGACACACTCGCATAAATAGAAACAAATACAATCCTTTAAAAAAAAGCATAGACTATAATTCCACTGTATGAAACTACCTAATTTGCTTTCATAATGGACTCTCCCTTGGCTAACCATGTTCCAGGCCAAGTGAAATGACACTCAGCAATACACACCTTAGGGATACATCCTAAAGAGTGAGATGACAGTCTCTCAGAGAGCCAAGTTTCCATGAAGTATTTAACTGCTTTGAAACATGAGACTAATGGACACTTTGAAAATGTTTGGCAGGAAGAATCTGTTTATTTAGATTCGGAGGTGAATGAACATATTCACTGGTTCCAGCGAGAGTACATGAAAACAGACAAGGACTGGAGAGAAATTGACAGGAGGATGAGTCAGACTTTGGAAATCAGAAGAAAGATGATTGGCTGCCGAACACCTCTCAAGGACATTCTTAAGATGTTTCCTTTCCTGAAGTGCCCTTACCAGGTAAGCTACTCACTAGAACAGTCTCTGGTCTTGGTGTCACATTTGTTTTTCTCCCTCTTTCCTTGGAGCAGTGGTCAGACAGCCTGGCAATACAGTGGGTGTGAGTCCCAGTAGAGTGTGAGCAGGACTGTAGAGCCAGTCGGAACTGCCGGAAGCCCCTTCAGGATAACCAGCGCTGCTGTCTTTAGGATGAGAGTTCCCTGTAGGGCACACTATGGGGGTGGGGGCGAGGTGTCTCTACTGTTAGGGTATTTTGTCACATGAAATAACTCCATTTTGCACACATTTGGACAGTAAAGATGGTATATTCAGAACACTTCCCAAGTAACAGTTTTCTTTGTCTTCTATAATGTCAAGTCACAGGGAGTTAGGAGGGAGGAGAAAAAAAAAATGAAAAACTTGAAGTTTCTAGAGGCGATGAGGTGCTGTGACTTTTCTCCTCCGGTGAAGCAGTCTCAGCAACCGTCCCTTAGTTAGGTGAAAGTGGGTTCTGCCGAATGAAACTGTTGTCCCAGCCAATCAGAAGCTGAAGCCGGAAGAGCCTTTAATGACAGGGAGTTTAAGGCCAAGTTGGGCAACAGAGTGAGACCTTGACTCCAAAGCAAACCCGTAACTTCGCGAAAACACCTAAGAACAAAGCTAATAGAGCGTGGGAAAATGTTTGTAAAGAACCTGAGTTTTGCATTTGTTCTATTGGTGTACTTACTGACCTGAACTTTCCATCGCCAGCACGGACAGAGCTGAGGAACCAAAATAGATGAGGCAGTTGTTTGCAGGCCTTAGCTCTAGGCCCCGTGGACTCGATCCTCGGTAAGAGAGGCACTTGCTGTGCAGAGCTACCGCGAGATATGAGATGGGCTGCACCGAGCGGGCGCAGGAGTCGGGCAGCACTTAGTGGTCTCACTCAGCCCAGCAGGAAGAACCTGGAGTTTGGGAAGGATGGACAGCTGTTGTTTGCTTGACAGGATTCTGGAAGAAGCAGGGTTGGGGGTTGGGGGGGGATGGGACACGGGAAGAAGCTCACTGAGAGCTGGGGGTCCCTTGAAAAGTGAGGTTGCTGCATGCCTGAGGGCTGATACAGAAAGCTTGAAGTGTTGTTAAGAACTTGGGGCTGGTGTGGTGGGAAGCTCTCCCACAGTCACGTGGCACCCGGAAGTCTATGCTTTGTGAGTAAGAATCACCCTTAGGCTTCGTTTTTCCCAGTCAGGGGCAAAACCCAAAACAAACTTGCCCAAACAAATGATGAAGTCTGGCAGGAGGAACAACAAGTTCTTAATTGACAGTTCAAAATTTACTTGGGGCGTTGGTGGTGCACGCCTTTAATCCCAGCACTCGGGAGGCAGAGGCAGGCAATACAGAGAAAGCCTGTCTCGAAAAACAAACAAAAAATTAGCACCCTGTAAAGGAAAACCAGTTGATGCAAACTCCCTGCTGGTGGATTGCCAGGTGACAACTGTGCAGCCAGCAGTGTTGCTCTGGATGCGGGGCTGGACTTCAGGACTCATGATCCCTGGCTCTGGAAAAACCAGCACAGTAGAGCGGACACCAGTTTGGAATTTCGCCAGCTCTGCTGAGCCTTATCCCCACCCAGCTCTTAGAGCCATTTGACTTGTCCTACCTCTAGCCCAGTCTTCCAAAGGCTGACAAGTCAGTCGCTTCAGTGTGATGGGAAACATAGCAGGGCCAGTGAACCCGATCTGTCATGTCTGTGGGAAATCTCAGCAGACACAATGAATAAAAAAATAGAAGGAAAAAGAGGACTGACATTTAGAATTGAAAAACACATCATTCAAAGTGAGTACTTCACGGGGTAGGTCTAACAGCATAGTGAAAATCAAAGCAAGAGAAGACATGAAGACGACCAACAGAAATTTTCCATTACATAACAAAGGCAAAATGATTTAAGTTGTGGAGAAAGGCGTTTCCACCTGTTATTTGTTGGGAGTTTGGTGACTGTGTCTGCATTGAGGACACTGGCAGGGGTTACTACTGCCGAGTTAGAAGCACAGAAAGAGAAAGGCTAGAGAAAGCCCTGTGAACTATGCTAGAGCTCAATGGATCAGTATAGTCGAGTCTATTTAGACACATGTTCACACATTTGCTTTTATGTTTCTCTACCTCGTTACCTAAATGGCAAATGGGAGATACTCAGTGGATACTGCATTTGCAAATGGAAACCACAGTGCGAGTTTATTGGCTCTGGCAGAATCAAGGAGGAAAACTCAGGATCTAAAACTCAAAATAAGGAAGATTATATAAACTGTTTTTGAAACGATAATCCTTGGCTATAAGGTCACTATCAAGGTTAAACAGGCAGCTGGCCAAGCATCCTTGCTGAAGTCTTTTTTGTGTGTACAAGATTGGGGTGGCCTTTGTGCATGCTTACAGTGGTGACAGAGGTTTTGGTGACAGCCCTTTGATCAGGCATACCTCTGTGTGAAATCCTCCTGCCTGACCTCTTAGCTTCTCTTTTGCTAGTGTTTGAAATAAGTCCCTTCATTTTGATTCTAACACCATTCACAGTATATAGAACATATTCTTCAACATTGTTCTATGAGAAAGGCCACAGCAGTAACATTTCTGTAGGAAGAGGCACATTTTGGGGGTTGAAATGTTAGTTTCCAAATGGCACTTTTCCAATAGAAAGAACCACACATTTTGAGGGACATTGTGGCTAAGAAACACACACACACACATACACACACACACACTATGTATATATATATATATGTATACATATTATATAGGTATATATATTTATTATGATAAACCTTAAATATTGTAAAATGCCACAAGGAAATGTTCACCAACTAGACTATGTCAAGAGGACATATCCTCTACTGGCAAAATCTAGAAAACATAAAATTATATAAATATTCTGAGGATCATATTTGTAACCCTTTGAGTGGAATAGGAATTTATTAGTATGTTGTATTGCAAATAAGTAAATAAATATAGAGGAAGAGAAAATTCTATCCCATGGTAAGTAGAGTACTGACTAACAAATTTAGAAAAGACAGATAAGCCAAATGCCACTTGGCAGTGAACACAGTGATATTTGCATCAATGTCTATTAAATCTGGTAAAGTTAATGAACTAGCCAGGTGTTCTGGGACTTGTCTATAATCCCTGTGCACTTGAGAGGCCAGAAGCAGGTTGGGGCTACAGAGTGAGTTCCAAGTTATTCTGGGCTCCATAGGCGCCCCAGCAAAACCTTGTGTCAAAAATCCATATAAAAGACGGTTATTCTCAATATATCTTCTCATAAAAGTCAACATAATTCAGACACTGAGAAGTATAAAGCTGGTAGATCCCAACTTAATCAAGTGATAAAAGTTAGTATCTTCAATATAGGGACAAATTCCCATTCAGTGCTCCCGAAACATAAGCATTTATTACCCAACATGCATAAGCCCTGGGAAAGCATCACACAAACAGGGAGGCAAGGTCTACACAGCGTGGACCACTTTTCAAAACTGAAATCCAGCAGTGATTCCAGGCAAGAGACCTGGATTGAGCCATGGTTTTTACATCTCACAGGTGACTCTGGATCTAGAAAGAATGTGTTTGAAACTACTGGCAAGTCTGAATGAGACGACAAATTAGATTGCCCAATATTTTAATTGCCTTAGTACTTAGGAAGTACCCATAGGAAAATTAAGAAGCATCATGTCTACAGCTTATTGTCAAGTGGGTCTTCATGAAGGGCATCTGTAAGCTCTACTTATTTGAACTTTAATATCAATCTGAAATTATCTCAAAATGAAGAAAAAACACAAACAAAAGCAAAAACCAAACAAAACCAAAGACAAAACCTGAGGCTCTGGGCCCAGGGACCTGGCAGATTCGTTCTTCTTAATAATTGCTTTCCCACCTGCCTGGTGTGAGCCCTTTCCTAAGGACTAGCTTCACTGAGAGTTGACTCACACGAGCCATGGTCCCTTGATGAGGATATGAGTTCCAGCTTCGAATGACTTAACTTTCAGATGTAATCCTTGGTCAATTCATGATTTACCAAAATATCTAAGGAATTGTGAGGCCCCATGGGTAATGTTAAATGCTGCAATTTTAGGGGACAGTGGTGACTAAATTAATTCATATTGGTGTAGATAACTAGGGGTCTGATGGCTTCATTCTGTCAACATAGGAAGAGTGGAAGTAGGGGTGCAATTCTCTGGGAGTCCAAATTTAAAATATTCTGGGAATGGTAGGGAAAAGTAGTTTGGAGTCAAGAGGTTTCCGTTGGTTTTTGCTTTAATTCGGAGCTCAACTCTATGGTCTCTAAAACACTCCCTTAGAGTCCTAAGATAGGGCATTTTTCAAGAGTAGTGTTCCTGTTTTCCTCTTTGGGGATGCTAATGAAACATAACTGTCCTAGCTTGGTTTCTGTTGCTGTGATAACACAATTCAGTTTATTTGACTAATGGGTTACATAGTCCATCATCAGGAAAAGCCAAGGCAGGGACCTGGAGGCAGGAAGCAAAGCAGAAACCATGGTGGAACACTGCTTACTAGCTTGCTTTCCTGGTTTGCCTTTCTTATGAAGCCCAGGCAGGTACCACCTAGGCCCTCCTACATTAATTAGCAATTAAGAAGATGCCCACAAACATCCCCCACTGTCCACTCTAATAGAGGCCATTTCTCAATTGAGATTCTCTCTTCCCTGCTATGTCTAGATTTATGTCAAGTTAAGAAAAATGAACTATAACTGTAGCAATGTGGTTTATATAAGGACATGTGCCTAGAATTCTACTCCTGTGACCCAAATAGCCAGTCCTGGCTGTCCTGGAGTTGCTCTGTAGACCAGGTTGGCCTCAACCTCAGAGATCCACTTGCCTCTGCCTCCGGAGTGCTGGGATTAAAGGCATGTGCTACCACGCCAGGCTCCAAAGTTTTAATTCTATATCCATGCTTTGTTTTACTGTCCACTTCAGACTTGCATTTTTTCCCTCCTTGTCCTGCTTCCAGTACACAAAGCTACCAAAAACTCAGGTATATATTCCGAGTCATTTGTGAGCACTTCAGGTATATATTCCGAGTCATCTGTGAGCACTTAATACAATGTTAATGAGATATCCACTCCCTTATATTCTGAATACTAGTAACCTTTTCATGTGGCCTGACATATGTATTTCTTTCTTCTCTCAGATGTTTCGAGAAGTCCAACTTCTTACAAAAACAGATATTTATAAGAAAACAAAGCATATTCTGGAATCCTACTCGGAAAATATACTGACTGCCTTTTCAGTGGTGGACAATCCAATCAATACTGCACTGCAAGAGAAGATGAAACACTATTCAGATGAAGGAGTGCTCAAGAGTCAGTAAAGCCCAGGGATGGGGGGTGGTCTCAGCCATTTCTGCAACTACAGACAGAAGTGTTTTGTTGCAATAAGTGAGATGGAAAACAGTTTTTCAAATAGAGAGAGAAAAAGCCTGAGTTAGAAAAAGTACACACTCAATACTACAAAGTTATACTATGAGCACTAGTACCCTTTAATCTTACAAGACACACCACAAGGCCAAACACAGTAAATGATCCTGGCGAATGGGCACAGCCCAGAACTTTGGCCTCAGTTGGTCATGACCTAGAGGGTAAAGCTGAAGTTTGGAAATTTTCATTAGAAAACTCTTTGTTAAAATGGTTGTGAGGGACGCTGGGCGGTGGTGGCGCACGCCTTTAATCCCAGCACTCAGGAGGCAGAGGCAGGCGGATCTCTGTGAGTTCGAGGCTGGGCTGGACCGATAGCCTCCAAAACAATACAGAGAAACCCTGTCTCAAAAAACCAAAAAAAAAAAAAAATGGTTGTGAGGGGTGGGGAGATGATCAAAGTGTTTGCTGTGCAAGCATGAGGGCTGGAGATCTGGACCCCAGAACCCATGTAAAAGCCGGGAAGGTATGCTGCCATCTGCAATCCTAGTACTTGGGAGGCAGAGACAGGCTTCCGAGGGAAGTTGGCTGGCAGGACTTAGTGAATGTGCAAGCGCTAGGTACAGCAGGAGACCCTGCTTCAGTAAATAAGCGGAGGAGGACACTGGGTGTCTCCTCTGGGTACCCACATGCATTTGCATGACACCCACATGTATGTAAAGACACATACACATATGGACACCGACCACACATACACATGCAAAAAAATGGTTGTGAAGTACTCACTTGAGGAGATTTGCTTTTCACACTAGAAGGTAGCAATAATCTAATACAGAGCAAAGCCCACATCTTCATGATAGCTTTTCTTACAATTTGCCAAAGCCCATTTCTTTTACTCAGACATGCTTACTCTGACAGATATGAAGATGACTGCCACCTGTTTACTCCTCCCAGGTGTTTTTGGGGACGATCCCAGCCTTTTTGTCGTTGTGAATGAGAAGGTACGAAGTATGTTTATGGACATTCACTTTATACCTTGGTATAACTAGAGTATAAGGTCATTCAAGTCATTTCATATTGCTATTAGGCTACATTGTAACTCGCTCATTTACTGTAATATTGTGTGACGTTCAGGCTGCTTTATCATTTAGCTGTTTGACGTATCAATGGGTAGTGACGTCATTCCTCTTTTTTTAGGTACATGCATCCACCCCAGTGTTGGGAGTTAAAAACCCTTTCCACATCAATGGCTGTGAGTTTTCTCTGTATCTGGACAAAGAGAAGCTCACCAAGGTGGATGACTGTGTCACAGCCCTGGCTGCTTTGGTGGCTGCTTTCCATGTGTTTGGGATTGAGTGTCCGAGAAGACTGTCCCAAACTTTCAACTTCCTGGAGACATTGATCTTTGATGTGCAGAATCCCTGTTTTCTATCTTTGAGAGAAAAGGAAATCAGATCTCAACCTCCCATCACTTAAGACTATCCAAATTGACCTCCAGGGTGGCCAAAGCTTCATAAACAACTGCAGATTGATTTAGGGGTTGCCTTAGAGGTAGGGATTGGAAAAAAATGTTGTCTCAAATGTCAGTGTTTTTTTTTTTTTAGAAGCACTCATATATCCATTTCCCCATGCCGTTGCCCTCCCATGTGTCAGTGAATTTTTGATGCTTCTGTCCTAAACTTAGATACTTAAGCTCTCTGTTATGTTTGGTAATAAAATACTACTTAAAAGCTTTGAATTTGATCTGAGTTCATAGGTATTCTATGGCCAAGGTTACACGTTCAGGAGTGTCAGTTTTTAAAAGACATTATGAGGCAAAATCCTCCCAGTTAAGTCTGACCCTGAATTTAACTCAGTGTGATGACTTGGAAATCCATGAAACTGCCTCTTCAGTCTCTTTGGTTAGAACACTGATTGGAAAACATCTTGAACTTTAATGTTATAAAAAGAGGTGCACCTAGCCCATATTGCAGTGATGGGACAGCGAAAAGATCATATGGTTGATCACAATGAGTCCTATGCCACCCAAGAATGTCCAATGCTCACTTAGCTTTTCCTCCAACAGAACACCATTCTGCTTCGGAGAGAAATCTTTTGTTATTGTTTTGTGTAGCCTTGAGCAAAATCTTTAATAAGATTTAAAAATCTCCTTCATTATAGCATACACTTAAGTTATAAAGGAAAAAAAAATTCTCCGTGTGGATGAAAACTACTTGGGCTAAAAATGTGATTTTTTTTGAAGTTTTTTGTTGTTGTTGTTCTGTTTTGTCTGTTGTCCTTAAATTGCTATGCTGTCCCTCTACCACACACTTTTCCTTTGTGGTGTGTGTATTTATTCATGCCTGTCTGTGTGGGCCAGTGGGTCATCTATATTCCTTTGTCATTCCATATCACACTCTCCTCACCCCATTTCCTCTTTTTATTTTAATTAAAAAACAAAACAAAAAACAAATATGGGTGTTTGCTGCATGTAAGTCTGTACACCATGTATGTGCCTAATGCCTGTGGAGGACAGATGACAGGGTTGGATCCCTTGGAACTGGAGTTGTAGATGGCTGAGATCCAAGTACTCTTAACTATCTGCCTACTTCTCTAGCCTTACTACCTATGGTTTTTATATTTTTGGTTGTGAGCCTAGCCTTTAACGGCTGAGCCATCTCTCCAGCCCTACCTATGGTTTTTTGAGGCATCGCCTTTAACTAAACTTGGAGCTCATAAATTCAGCTAGGCTTCCTGACCAATGAGCTTCAGGGATCCACTTGCCTTTGCTTCTACAGTACTGGGTTACAGATGTGCCTGGTTTCTACATGGGTGCTGGGGATCCAAACTCAGGTCCTCATGCTGTTGTAACAAGCACTTTAGCTTCGAGGCAGACCCCAGGCCTATGGTATCTTTAATGTTGTTTATTTGTTATTGTTTTGTTGTGGAGCAGATCAAGCCAGGGTCTTGTAAATGCCAGATAGGTGTTCTAAGATAACTTTTCTTAGATATGATATTATTCCTGTTTTTCCCTACATCTCCTATTTAATTACCCCCTTAAAAATCATACATACATAAAAAGAATCTGTAATTAAGATTTTATTTCATTCATATCACATGTAACAAGTGCAAGTTAATGTACAAATACTGAACACAACAGAAAAGGGAAAAAATAACAATAAAAAGCTTATTTAGCAAATTCATGCAAAGAAATGAATTGGACACTGCAGATGTCACGGACCCTGTTTTACCTTGAATCATGACAAATGCAAAGGACTGATAATAAACTCCTACTATGGCACATCAAAGGAAGTTCTACATCAGAAAAACATTAAAGAGTTTTATGGAAAGAGGTGGGACTCCCCCCAGAGTTCCGACAGCATGCTACTAAACTTCCTATTTTTAAAGCAGTCCTTGAACAAATGTCTAATCTTGGAATTAGAAAGTACATCAAAAGACTGACAAAATAATTTACCTTTCCCCTAGAAGTGCATGCTTACAAAAGAAACACTGCCAGCTATGAATTTATAAATAACCCAGGGCTTTCATTTAAAGTGCATCCAGATGCTTTAAAAATCAAGGCAAAATATTTCATAGGAAAAGGAATCTTTCCACATTGGAGGCTCCAAATAATGGCTTCGGGAAGCACTTCCTCTACTCGTGAGCGTGGAGAATTTCGGGGTCTGCTGTTGTTTCAGTCACAAAGGTCTGTGCAGTAACGTCCACGCCCTGCTTCTCAGCTCACTCTGAGGAAATCCCCTGGGCCTGGAGGACCTGTGAGACTGAAGGGATCTCTTGAACGATTAGTGTTTCCATCAACAGAAAGAGTCCTTTTCTGTGAAGCACCAGTTACTTCCAAGTCATTTACAGAGATGCACACAATAATCTCCTAAACCAAGCTCCCGATCAACATCCCCTGGAATGTAACCGCATAATCCTCCTATACCCACGGCGGTAATCACATGGGCACCATGATGTACACAACTGATTCCGCCCAGATACACTACTTCATTCAAACCTAAACAGGTTTATATATTTTATTTCTCAATTCTGTTCTTTTATATACATTTTTTTTTGGTAATAACATACAGATGCTGGTGAAAAGTAATTTGTTGAACAATTCATTATGCGTGCAAAAGTAAAAACATGGATTCAAAGAAAGGTAGTATTTACAGTTCTTCAGTCCCAACAAAGGATGACACACAGGCAATATCGTGACTCGCAAAGTTACGCTTGGCTAATGCTGCGATTCCAAATATGGCACAGGGCGAACACGACTGACACTAGTCCCAGGCTAACCTCAGCCAGGTTTCAACGGATTTGGTTTAGGTTGAAATTCAGTTATATAAAAAGGTTTCTGAAAGTATCGAAAAGAAGAAAGTGTACATGAAAGAGAATCCAACAATGTTTACAAAATGCCGAAAGTTCTTATTTTGCCCCCCCATCCATAAATAATGAAGCCCCCGTCTCCCCACCCTCCTCCCACTTCCAAAAGATTTACAAAGGTAAGTTTAGCTCAGTGAGCAGAACTGAAAGATGACGGTTGCTGGACAGCAGCTGGTGAGAAGCCCAGGCGTTTCCTAAGGATGTATGTGCCGTCTGGAGGGACGGATGGAATCCCGTAGCGCTCGTCTCGGGAGTCCTGGAGACTGCTCAGTCAGGAGCTAGAATCGTCCTTGTGCTTTGAATAAACGTGATGAGCATTAAAGCGGAAGCTGATGGTACCCGAATCCACCGTCTTCACAGTTCATTGTGGGAATTCTTCTCCGCCGCTTTAAACATCAGGATAGAATTGAAAATTTTGAGAGCTGGGCCCAGCTTAATGCTCATAATTTTCACAATGTCTGTCTGGGTCATGAGTAAAAATGCTTCTCCATCAATTTGCTGAAATAAAGGGAGGACAAAACAGAAACAGAAGAATACAGGTTAACTAGATGCATTGTTGTGGGGCTATCCAAAGCTACATGCTGTATTATTAGCTGACTTCATAGCAATTCTAAGAAGACATACACCAGAGATCATGAACACAATATTCCCCATCTATGGGTCTAACTTAAAAAAAAAAATCACACACCCAACAAAGTAAAACGGTCTGAAACACCTAACAGATTTAGCCTTTTACCATGAAGGAACACAGAGTATTTTTGTTGGCCATGGCCATAGTTAGCCTCCATAAGCAGAAGAGAAACAAGAAACAGCATGTGTGGAAGGATGTAAGGCCAATGTTAAACATCACGGACTACAGGCTGTGTCTTCTACTATTGGGGTAATTGTATAAATTCTCTTTTTCCTGGGCTCCTTTTGAGATGAAAAGCTGAATTCCAGAACAGTACACTCACATGAAAATGATTATCTGGTTTAGTAGGGTGACAAATGTGACAGAACACACACACACACACACACACGAACATATACATACATACATACATACATACATACATACATATTTCAGCCTTTAAGGAATTAGATGGTCTTAAGATATATTAATTTCTTCTTAAAGTTCCCCATTTTGAACAACAACAACAAAGAGAAAGACAATGTGTCTTCTGTCTCAGAATAATTAGAAGCTTTGACCACAGTGAATACCTTGATGGGGGTTAAACTGTATCTTCTGAAAATTCTTTTTCGTTTGTTTTGTTTTGAGACAAGGTTTCTCTTCATAGCCTGGTTGTCTTGGAACTCATTATGTAGCTAGGCTGGCCTTGAACTCACAGAGATCCACCAGCCTCTGCCTCTGGAAAGCTGGGGCTAAAGGTGTACACCACATGCCCAGCTGCAAATTATTTAAGAAATGTTTTCTTCATTTTTATTTTATGTGCATTGGTGTTTTGCCTGCATGTATGACTGTGCACCACACGTGTGCATTACCTGTGAAGGAAGGAGATGATATCTGATCCTCTGGGACTGGAGTTATAGACAGTTGTGAGCCTCCATGTGGGTGCTGGAAATGAAGCCTATGTCCTCTGGAAGAACAGTGCTGCTAACCACTGAACCATCTTTCCAGCCCCTCCTTTACAAATTCTGTTTAACTTCTAAACCCTAGTTGCTCAGATGTGAGCTTGTTTCGGAATGGAGTCATTGCAACTATAAGTAGTAACTGGTCACATGGGCCAGGTGGGCTGCTGGTCCAGGAGGACTAGTGTCTACAAGGTAAAAGTTTTTTGGTCTTTAAAACAGGTAAATTTGGACACAGAGACAGCCAGAGAGAGAGAATTATCTATAAGCTGCAGGAGGGGCTGGAACAGACATTAGAAGGCCTGATTTCTAGTCTTGCCTCCACAATTGTCAGACAATGCAGTTCTACTATTTTAAGTGACTAAGCTGTGTTTTGTCATGGTAGCCTTCGAAAGTTCCTACAACCCTGAATTCCCTGGAATTAACTAATTACAGTCTTATATAAGTATGTAGCTGCTTTTGTTTTTTAAACATTTTCCTCATTCTACTAAATATAGACAAGGGGTTGTTGAAATGACTCACTGGACAAAGCCTGACGATGACAACATGGGTTTCATTCCTGGAACCCACATGAAAAAGAGGACTGACTGCCTCATGTTGCTCATTGACTTCTGCACACACTCTGTCATCAAGAAAACAAATATTGGAGATGATGTGGGGAAAGAGGAACCCTTATTCACTGCTGACAAGAGTGAAAACTGGTGCAGCCATACTGGAAATCAGTGTAGAAGTTTCTCACAGACAAAATATAATCACTATAAGACTCCTTCGTAGATAAAAGGACTCCACATACTCACAAATCCATGTTTATTGCTGCTCTATTCACAATAGCAAGGGAATGCAATCAGTCTATATGTCCACCAATAGTTGAATGGAAAATAAAAATGTTGGACATATACATGATGGACTATTATTCAGCCAACAGAGAAAAATAAAAGTATGGAATTTGTAGGAAAAAATAGTTGGGTCTGGAAATACTATATTAAGTCAAGTAATCAGACTCCAAGTTGAATACTGTATTCTTTCTCATATACAGTCCTGGCTTCTAATTTGAAGAAGTATTAAGGAGGCAGGATGGGAAGGGTGACGGACTACATGTGACATGAGAGCTGAATGAGGAATTCTGGGGGCTGAATGGGACCAGGTCAGGGTGAATATGGAGATGGGGGCACGCATGTATGAGAAGGCATTAGCCAAAACAAGTGTATGTGGAAACGCCATAAGGAAACCTCTTACTTTGGATACTAATTTGAAACAAATAAATACTTTAAAAAAAGATAATCTCAAGGTAGATGATAATGAATCCCTTTTCTTACACATATTACTGAGACATAGGTAAGACTGCTCCTGGCTATAACAGTAGTCTTTATTCTGAGCAACAAATGGACTCAGTATTGATACTGTTAGGATGATATATGAAATGAAAGTAATGAAAAAAATTCCCCCCGTATTAAAGCACTGCTAATTTCTTGCTTTGATTTATTTCTGTGCCATAATCTATTTAAGAACATGCTACTAAGTATTGTGGGGCGTTTCATAGTGCGCTAGTGCTACTGTGCCTGCTTGTGAAATGCTTTGTACAGCTTTCCTTTGGACCTCATCCTCTGTAAGACATTTTATTCAAGCAGTCAAGACTGCTTGCAATGCAACTACACACCAGCTGTCTACTTTGATAGAGAGCACTCATCTCTTCTGGACTGCTAATTTAACGCACATCTCCACTGATGCATCACCTGGATCTGATACCATTAAGAAGCGTTATTGCAATATGGAGGAATACTTACTTCATCCTTAAACACCTTTCCGTGTTCTTCACACCCAGGCAAGCTCTGAATGAATTCTGACACCTGTCAAAAGTAATATCGATATTCCAAGTTTTTAATAAAAAACAAGAAGAAGTTGGGATCCAAATGCTGCAGATTCAAAAATATTTGAAACATATAGCTTATGTAGTTCCCTCAAAACAAATTTTCTCTTATTTCTCTGAAAGACAAGACATTACCCAGTCAATGTATTTATCACTCATGATGCCAATATCCTTGCACTGCAGGCAAAATGTGATAACAAAATAGAGTAACAAGAGCAAACATACCTCATCTGTGCTCCATTTGGAAACTCTACTGGCTGGGATTCCAGCAACAGTCGGAAGAAGCTTGCTTTGCTGCTCCCAACGCAGGGGCAGGCACGGAATTGGGGGCTTAAAGGAGAGAAAGACAGCTGACCGCCTCTGAGCCTGCTGCCCCTGCTGTGCCTGCTGGGCCTGAGGAGTCTGCTGAGGCTGCTGCCCCTGCTGGGCCTGCTGGGCCTGCTGAGTTTGGGGAGTCTGTTGAGGCTGCTGGGCCTGCTGTGTCTGTGGAGTCGGTTGAGCCTGCTGAAGCTGTTGAGGAGGCTGGGCCTGCAGAGGCTGCTGGGTCTGCTGAGCCTTGGGAGTCTGCTGAGGCGGCTGTACCTGCAGAGGCTGCTGGGCAGGCTGAGGCTGCTGTACTTGCTGTACCTGCTGAGCCTGCTGTACCTGCTGAGCGTGCTGTGTAGTAGGGGTAGGCTCTTCCCGAACAACTGGTCAACGGGAAAAGAAAGAAAAAAAAAAAGATCTGTATCTGAAAGGAAGCAGGACAGCCCCACGTGCCAGGCATCCCAGTAGATAATGATGTCAGGGTGGACATAGACAAAGGTTTTGTACTTTCAATATCATACTCATTGAGTAAGTATAGTTTACTGATGTTTGCCATGGTAAATAAAGTTCGGTTTACACACATTATTGACAACTATCATTGTGTTCTTGAGTGCTCTAGATTGTGCCTCAGCACAGAACTCCTAGTGACTCTGTGTCTTTCCGTTCAGACACTCCTCCCTTTAGCGGTTTCTTCTGTATCACTGAGGTTGGACAGCAGTGTTATTTCTAAACAAGGAGGGAACTGTGGTATCTATCAACCATAAAATACATTCCCCCCTATGACTCTCATCCAAATGGGAGACAGCATCTTCACATGGGTGAGTATTTGATTCCTTTAAGAGCACAGGACGTGGCTCCAAGGTTTTACCGAACATGTAACGCACACTAGAATAAATGCAAGCAGACCTTGGTGGCAATGACCGGCACCAGGTGAGAGGGAGGAGAGGCTTGCAGCGTACAGCGTGCTTCAGAAAGCACAGGCATTCAATTCGGAAGGCACTTTCTGCCACTTGTATCTCACCAAGACTCTGTTCCCTACCGCCCTCTTTTTACTCCATCTACCAGAATGAAAAACAACACTTTCAAGGAGTTTCCCATAGTTTAAAATTTCCTAAAGTGAAACTGATCAAAACAATATGACCAAAGTCTTTGCTAACACACTTTACTTGATTTGCTAAAAAAAAAAAAAAATCTGCTTTTGTTGAGACAGTGACAAAAGTGAAGCAAGTATCTCCAAGTGTCTCTTGTCGCTATAGTGTCAAACGATGCTACGATGTTGCTATCTGTAACACCGGGAGGATGTACAGCCACATCACACAAAAACCACAGAGATTAGAAAAGCGAAGGCTGTCACCCCAGACCCTTGAACAACAGAGTCCTGACCAAGATGGCGTGTGCTGAATTCTGGTAAACACCATCTAGACCTCTGCTCTATCATCCCCGTGGAGTCAATTTAACAACTACTGGGAGAACTGTATGAGCACTTCTTTTCTCGATGCTTACCCTAACATACAGTGCTCGGTAAGTGGTAGAAATTACTTCTATCTTGAAAGGAATGAAAATAATCAACAGTCTTTTAGATTCAAAGTGGTAAAAGTGAAGATAAGTCAATAATCCATTAGGCTGATATTGCAGGAGTCTACAAAAAGAGGTTTTTAATGAGAAAGGAAGAAAGGCAGAAGAAATGGGATATGCCTGTTAAAAACTGATGAATAAATGGAAAAGGCGTGAACAAAAAATGTTTCATAAAACAAATGGATTTAAATCACCAAGAACAGAGAGATACAACTGACTTCCAGATTACTGACATTCAGGCACTGAAAAATATCTGAGGGTAATTTCAATGTTAAAAATCCAAATAACCAATTCAACTGTTGCAGAGGCAAAAAAGATGCTCAATTTCCCCATGAAAATCTCAGATGTTACTAAACAGCATTCAGATTTTGCACAGGGGTATCCTACCAGAGAGAATGCTTGTAGAGAAAACAAAGAGCTGTACTATCCCCAGGACATAAGGATGCCAGACAAAGGCCAGTTTACAGAATCTCCACTGTGTAGGCTTTCCCACAATGGTGGAAAAGAGTAAAGGAGATAGGAGATAGGAAAAAAGGAAAATTACAGTCAGTTTCCCAAGGTCAAGTTCAGAAAAAGAGATCATGATTAAACAGACTGTTCTGGATCGACTGGAAAGACCTGAGGTTTGTTTTGTTTTTTAGGAAGAAATTCCTTTTTTGTTTTTTAAACAATCAGTTTGTCCCAAGACTCCAAACAAAATAGACCTAAATCCTACTGATACTAGAAGGAAGCCTTCTGTGGCTGCATTTCAGGCTCCTTCAGTGAGTGTTACCCTGGCACAATTTCTCTACCCCCAGAGGCAGAAGGCTAGGCGAGCCTGGTACGGTTGCTCCATCACCAAGGAACAGGCTGGGAATGAATACTGTAGCCCGGAGAGTGGGCGGGCCCCAGCAAGGATTGTGCCATACCTGACCTTCAGGCCTCACCCTGAAGGGATTCTGCTGAGGCCCAAATGGAAGAAGCATGGGTTCTTCACAAAATACACATGAACTTTCTCTGGAGTGAAAACCGATTCCAAAAGGAAACAACCACCATCAGACCGCTGATAAAAAAAAATCCTATAAAATATTCTGAAGAGCGTAGACTCACGGACAGTAGAGTCTGGGATCTTTATAAGCCCCAGGAAAGCTACTAACATATTGCCATGAGGTATACTCGGACTACACCAGGGTTACACAAGAGCACGTGAGGCACCGACAGAGAGTACATGTAAGCTGAGGCCTGAATGGAAGACCTGTTCCTGACTTCTGATGAACCAGTGGCTTCCAAAGAAAAGCCGAATTCTTTCTAGAAGTCCAAATGGCTATGATGACAAAACCATCTCTTTATAAATTAATAAAATACCTTTATAAATTATAAGTAACAATGTCAATCAAACACTCATGTGGGGCTTACTATGGGATAGCCACATGATACGCAAGGAATACTGTTATTCCCTTAATCTTCCTTGCAAGCTTATGGACATATACTACCACATCATTCTTCTGGACGGGCAAGGAACAGAAGCACTCAGAGGCCTCAACATCATGGTCAAAGCCATGCCGGGGTACATAGGAAAGGAGAGACTGCCTGGTCAATGGTAAGATCTGTACCTAGTGCTACAGCAAGCACTATAAACCATGCTGAACATCACCCTGTAAACAGATTACAATGTAATCATTAATTACTGTTCTTCCATAAACCATGCTGAACATCACCTTGTACACAGTTTTCAATGTAATCATTAATTACTGTCCTATAATAATCAGGCTCTCATTACAGGCAGTCATTAGTTTCCATTCCTCAACCCTAAAATTATCTAACCCAGAAAACACATATGAGAAGGAAAGTCTACAGGAACAAACAACACAGTGATAGCCAGGCTAGCATTTTCTTATAAGAAAAATAAACAATAATTAACCAGCTATAAGCAAATTATAATTTCAATTTATATGATGACTAAGGGTCATTATGCCCTCACTATCATCTTTGAAACAAAGATGGAAGAAGAATGACTTACTCTAGCAAACACTTGTTCAATACTTTTACACAAGGACGATATTCTGGTTAGATTTCAAACCACATTTGAGGCGAGTGAAGCTAGCAATACTAAGGAAAATGTGTGGCGAGAACCAATGAGAATGTCTTCCAAACCTTACATCCGATGCTGTACCAATGCATGAAAGAATACTATGAACACAGGCTGCGGATGAATCTGTGAACCAAGCAACAGACGTCTCTTGCTTTCCATGAGAGAAAAAAACAAACCAAGTTTATCTTCAGTACACCATGATTGGCTTTTTCCAGTTGTTTCTATTTACTTTCACTCATTTTGTGGCGCTGAGAATCAAACCTATTATCTTACGCATTCTAGGCACTCCTGTGCCGTGGGACCACATCCCTGGGCTACAGTGGAGTTTTTGGGTTCCTGAATGTTTATGGTAATAACCAATGATGACGTGATAACACTATGGCTACCTTTGGCTTCAGCTGATGTCCTCACTTCATTTTCTCTTTTCTCTGCAGAATCTTCTTTGACGTCACCAGCACGATGTTCCCTGAGAAAAAAATAGCTGTTTCAGTATTTTATAACAGAAGAATTTTAAAGCATTTCAGAACTGCATCTTAGCAACTGTGTTTTCTTAATGATGGATGGGTGGTACCACTAAATGCTAAAGGATGAAATTCCACCATGAAGCAGCTAACACCAATGACATCCAGAAGTGCTCCCTTTCTTCCTGATCACTCGGTGGCTGCTAGTCAGAAAGATTTTTAATGGTAAGAATGCTCTGAAGATGAACTTCTCTGGAAGATGTGGTTACTAGAAACTCTAACTACAGCTTGGAATATTCCGTCAGGAGTAATAACACTTGCACTGTTTGGTAGGACTCAAAGAACCAGAAGTTTTCTAAAGTTTGCACCATGCTATCAAATCTCTCACTACCCCACAGACCCATGGCTGACGCTGAGACAGGCGCACCGGCATACATCCCATCTCTGGAAAGCTTTTCCTTCCTTGACCAGGTCAATTCCACTGAAGCAAATTCACCTTTTTTTTGAGCAGGAGTGGATTAATTCTGAAATAAACAGGCCTTGGATAGTCTAAAATGGAAACAATTTATCAAAACTTGCATTTAGAACTCTGACTTCGAGGTTAAGGACAAATAGTGGTTCTTTAAAATAAAGTGATACACTTATTTTTTTAAAGATTTATTTATTTATTACATATACAGTGTTCTGCCTACATACCAGAAGAGGGCACCAGATTGAATTGTAGACGGTTGTGAGCCACCATGTGGTTGCTGGGAACTGAACTCAGGACCTCTAGAAGAGCAGTCAGTGCTCTTAACCTCTGAGCCATCTCTCCAGCCCCAAAGTGATACATTTTTAAAAAATAGAAATGTATGGGACTTAACATTTTTCAATCTACTGTGTTCCACCCTGACGGCCTTACTAAGGCATATTCTTCAATGTTTATGATAGTCTGGCCCAGGCTGTATTCTTAAGGTTCAAGAGCAAAGCAATACAATTAAACACATTCATTTAACATTCTTACTTTTAATTCCAAAGGCATGTACTCTCATCGAAATCATGAGGTAGTGATACAATGAAACTCTAAGAAGCAGGCAATAAATATTCTCTACATCTTAGAAATGGCATTGTCAAAAGTGCATATGAACTCCTGTTTGAACCTGAGCTTCCAGCTTCGTTTCTTTAGTAAAACACCTTGTAACTGGCGAAGATGAGCACCTTCTTGAAAACCAGGAGGCAACTATTATGCAATGCAAAGATTTCCCCCAAGAGATCCAGAGGACTCAGAATGAGGACTTTGAGGAACCCACATCCCTTCAGAGCATCCTGAACTTGTTTAGTCTAGTGCAGTGCCAATTCAACAGCTAGAGGTCTCCTCCACATTCGAGAACTGATGGCTGACAAACGACATTTGTTAGAAAAATCCTGTTTTCTCCATAGAAACAGTATAATAGCCAACCCTGACTACATAGGCCTGTAATCCTAGTTACTCAGGAGGCCAAGACAGGAGGTTTATATCATAGAGTAGGTTCAAAGCCAGCCTGGGCCCACTTAGTGAGACCCTAGCCCCCAATTAAAAGACAAACAAAACAACACACAAAAACTCCACGTGAATACAGCTTTGGCCAGGGGGTTGGGGTGGGGGTGAGGGGGGACCTTGACTGGCACATGCAAGTACCATAATCCCTAGGACCACCAAATTTAGTAAAACCAAAATAAAACACCCACAAAACAAAAGACCCAATGAAGTCATACTTTCTAATTACAGTATGTCAAAATCAACTTGCTACATGCTAAATTGACTGACAAATTTCTAGATTTGTTTGCACTAAGCCAGAAATAACATTATTTGTGTCTACAAACTCTATCCTAATATTGTGACTAATGAAAAAAAAGTAGTTTGTTGGTAGCTATATTAATATCATTAGAAAAAACACACATTCTTGTGAAATAATTTAAAATTAGTACTCGGAGTCAAAGAAAATTAATTCTCAACTAGTTCATATGTCTTTGCTAGGAAGTTAAATGAGTAACTGATTGATTTTTTTTTTTTGAAAAGTGAGACAAGAGGCAAAAGTTAAGTCTTGAACTTCTCTGTGTTTTCATGATCAGAAATATCCACTCATAATTAAAGTTATCCTGTTGTGATTTTAATAAAGCATAATAACTCTTCTAAGTAAATTGTGTTAAGATGTATACACCTTTAATTCTAGAACTCAGGAGGTAGAGGCAGGTGGATTTCTGGGGCCAGCTTGGTTTACAGAGCAAGTTCCAGGACAGCCAGGGCTACAGAGAAACCCTGTCTCAAAGCAAGCACACACACACACACACACACACACACACACACACACACACACACACACACACACACACACAAGGACTTAAATATAAGAAAAATTCCTTTGTGATCTATGTCCAAAAACAATGTCAACTATTTGTGTCTTGAAATGTAGAAAAGGAAAATAACATTTTGGAGCCAAAAAGTTGCTTTATACCCCACCTGCCAAAATGTATTCCAAAAGAAAAGCAAAATGTTATTACTGTTTGTCTTTATGGAAACATGATCGATCGGTTGTTCAGTGCTCGATATATGACAGGCTCTCTCCTGTTTCACAAGCTGTTTCCTTTAGAGTGAGAGGTGAAGGAGCCAACGGCCAGTCTATTAGAACAGGCGCCACGAAGCACATGGGTAAATAGAACCATGGAGGTGACCAGATGCTAACAGCCCATTCAGACACAAGGACAGGGCCCGTCAACATTCCTAAGGACACACTGCAAGGCAAACATGGGTCGACTCGTTGGCAGGTTGAATATTCTATAGCACTCCCTCATGCAAGGTCTGGTATTCTATTCATCGAAACATAAAAACATCAAGTCCATGATTATAGGAACAAGTATAAAACTAAGTCTTCTTGACACCAAGAACCTATAGTTAGAACCAATTCTCTATAATGTTTACATGGGGTTTCTCCAAAAATAAAGTGTACGCCCTGTTCCAGGATTGTAGAGGGTATGCTACCGAGTCACACACTTAATCTCAAATTGCCCTTCCCTGAGAAATCTGGAAATGTAGAATCTGCCTACATGTTCTTAATTATCTTATATTTTATTTAAAATTAAAAAAAAGTTTTCTTAATTGGGGAACTATGATTCCTCTCCTCTGTGAAGTCAGAAATTTCCTTATCCAAATTGCTGCTACTCTATAGGTTTCTTCCTGTGCACAGAGATGAAATCCTCCTTTCTAGAATTTCAGCTTTCTCCCATCCAAGTACTAACCAGGCCGACCCAGCTTAGCTTCCGAGATCAGACGAGATTGGGCGCGTTCAGGGTGGTATGGCCGTAGACTCTGCTTTCTTAGCTGAAAGGTCTTTCTGCACACTCCTGTGGCACACCGTGGGCAGATGAAGGCGGGGGGGGGGTAAGGAATGCCTGGCACACTAGCTCAGAGACAGGTAGAGACTGTGGACTGACCAAGGCAGGGAAAGAGGGACCAAGGGCTATGTCATGCCCGTCCTCCAGTGGTAGTCCAGGGACCCACAAATGTGATCATACTACAATTTGAAAATTCTGTGTAATACACTATTTTCTGTAGTCAAGTACAAGATAAGCTTCTGACAGATAATAACATATATTTTATGCTGTACTTTAGTATTACAATGTCGCTCGGCACAGAAACTTCTTGACTGGGTCGCTTTGATCATTACTCACTTGTGTCAGCAATCTCAAGGAAGCATAAGTTGTGGTTACAAGTGGGAAGCAGACCTACCTACTTCACATTTGGCTCTACTACTAACTAGGTTTGCATAGACATTAGCAGCAAGTTACTTAACTTAGCAAATCCTCAGTTGCAACATTGACAGAATAGGGATAATCAATCCTACCGTGATGATTTGAAGACAGAATGAAACACTTAGAAGTACTCAGCACAGGGCCAGGCACACAAGTGGGAACCTGACCTATGGCACCCTTTTCTAGTTACCATTTCTTTCTATGTTGGGATAAATGATCTGTTTACTGAGCTGCTTTCTTCAAATACAATAGCAGACTTTAGAGTAATGGTTTCCATAGCCAGACAGCTAGACAGCCTGGGTTCTAAGCCAGGTCTTGACTAGCTGTATGGGCTAAAACCAAGACAAGATGATGGGATGATTGTGATCTTTTTTCTTTCTTTCTTTTCTTCATCAGTATTTTTTTTAATTTAAATTAAAAACAAGCTTGCTTTACATGTCAATCCCATTCCCTGTCCCTCTCCTCCTCCCCTGCCTGGATTGTGGTCTTTAATTGGGAGGCAGAGGCAAGAGTATCTCTATGAGTCAGCCTGGCTGACATAGTGAGTTCCAGGGCTGGCATAGTTTAGAAACAAACAATAAAGACAGGCTGGGAAGGTAGCCCATCGTCTCCAGCACCAAGGGTGGAACAGGAAGCATAGAAAGAAGCCGGAAGAGAGACCAGACTGCACAAGTTCTCTTGGGATTTTAGAATTTCCAAGTACTGTTTTATTACAACATTTCTTTAGTTTAAACTGAATACAACCACAGCAAAAGCTTACTCAAGACAACCCGCTTGGTGGCTTTAATTAAGACTGTAGAAGCTGCTTTGCTGTAGAGGCAGAATTTTTTGTGAGTCAGCCATCTCTTTCTCTGTAATTATGTGTCACATTCTGAGCATCTTACTCTCTTCCTCGAATTATGCCTGTGGTAAATATTAAGGAAACAACCTGGGAAGAGCGAGTGTCTAGGAATACATACAGGTGACACTCCAAGGCACACAGCTCATTTCCTCCAGTGGGTTGACGCTGGACTTAAAAACAATTTCTAACCAGTGCAAGCCAGCCCCAGTCTACTGAGAGTGGCATTGAGAAAATACTAAACAGTAAGTTATTTTGTCTCCATTCAGGGATGTGTTCATTTTAGTCACTTCTCTGAATCCAGCATGGGAAGAGGCAGGAAGGCATAAAATGTAGATAGAGACATACCTATTGGTGAAGCACATTAAAAACTATAGGGATCACTTTTTTGAATGCCAA